TATTGTATTCTGTTTTGTTATATTGTTCTATATTAAACTGATAAAATATTATATAATTATATATATATATCTATAAAGAAAATCACATAGTATTAAATTATCTTAAACATTGTTATATTACATTGTAGTAAAAATATATTTACATAATAGTAAAATGCGATATTTTATCTATAGTGTATTATACTGTATAATGTTATTTGATACTAAATCAATTATATTATATCAAAATTAAATATTGCATTAAATTATATCATATAATTATACCATGTGATTTTTGATTTTTTAATTTAATTGAAGTATATTATACTGATACTACATATTATTCTATTGTACTGTATTAGATATTGTATTATTATATATTGAAAATAATCTATCTATATCATTCATATTCTATTTTGTTTTAGTTTATTTTACTATGCACTAATATATTCTATAATATCATATATCAATATATATATATTTATATATATGTAATATATATGTATATAATTATATTAAATTAGAGATTGTATTTTATTAACGCAGAACATAGCATATATCATATCATCGGTGCATAATTCATGCTTTATAGATTCTTTTTTTTATCATGCAGTTAAGTTACATAATTTAACATATTGTTATATAGTTTAGTCTATAAATTCTTTTGTCTCTTGTTAATGACTTTTACCAAAATCAATTTCTTACAGTGAATCTATTCTATAAACCCACAACAAGGCGAAAGCACATCTTGCAGCTAAGCTGCAACTCCCGCAGGCCATACACTTCGGTACCATCTCTTCCATGCATGAAGAAATCAATGGGAGCCTTGCGCCAAGTGGTTCAACAGGAGAACGCAATCTAGCATGTGGGAACACACACAGGAGTAGGCCTTGATACTAGTACTTAGAACATGTCCAGGCTATACTAGTGTGGCAATGATGGAATTTCTTGTTTCTGTACCGTCTCATTATGTGGAATGAATGACCCGAATGACTGAATGACATAAAAAACATGAAATAATTATAATGAAATTGAAATATCATGAATATCATCTACGTTCTTCACATCATGGTAACATAAACAAAATACAAAAAGAAAATAGCACAATTATAAATAAATATAACTTAACCACTTGAAATAGTAGATAAAATGTATATCAACATCGTCAAATGACTTGTCAAGTTACATCCGTCGGTGAAGAACCGTAAACGTATACTCTCTGCACATATGAATGCTATGTAGCACATGGATATGATATGAGTCATATGACCTGGGAAACGGGGTCATGAGTGGTGAGTCATGAGTAATGAGTATGCATACATCATTTCAAGTAGTACAATGTCAAAACCCTACACTTTTTGCAATCGGCTGAGCAAAAAGTCAATGCATTATGGAAATTACAAACTGTTTAGCTATCATGTTACATGTTAATGACCATACACTAAATAGACTAATTACTACTAAGTATACTGAGCCACATTTAAAAATAACGAAAATATCATGGTGTATTATAATACTGTATGATTAATTGTATAATTAAAGTATTCATATAACTTATAACTTATAACTTACTTATAACTTATAACATTGTATTATTATATAATTTTATATATTACATCAATATTATTTGTTTTATAATATCGATTATCAAACAGTTATAGGTATGAGTATGAGTCATGAATTGTTTAAATGTGGCTACAGTAATGTTTTGAATATGGAAACCGTCAACAAGAGAGAAAACAATCCAGGCTGGTATAGTATAGATGATGTTCCCCCACAGCTTCCGAGATCTTTCAGGGTTGTTTTTTTTTTTAATCTTGTTGGAAGTTGCTTTGTGTATTATCTAAGATCTATGTTCACATAGGAATTGATAGGACAATGCCCTCCTCAGACCCAGAAAAAAAGATCTCCGTCCATATGCACTCTGGAACACTGGATGTCAACAATAGCGGCAAGTTTGCCAATTGACAAATTAAGTTCTGCTTGAGGAAAAATCAACATGTTCCTGAGAATCTCTAGTGGCGAGCCATGATAATGATATCCTAAGGCTCATACTACAAAAATACTGTACCGCCAATGCTGTCACCCAGTGAAGTGCATCACATCATACATACACAAAAACCTCCGACCACACACTTTTTCACCGGTCGTTTGAACTGAGCCCAGTCATTCACCTGATCTCTTCAGTTTTGACAACAAAATTTTGATTTCATTTTGCATCTCCACAGGGGCGTCACGTTTATCCTGGATCCAGTTCTCCAGAAAAGTCTTTGCTTGTACGTAATCACCTTTTTCTTTTTCAAGGTATGGAGCGAAACATTCTGTGTGGAGCCAGCAATGAAATTTGACCTTGCTGTATGCATAAGCCACTCGAACACTTCCCTTGGAAATCTTCTGGCTGCAAAATCTGCAAGTGGCCAACCGCGCTGCCACTTGCTGACCAATTGCTGTTATCCCAATGAAAGAATTGCACTGCGTGGTCAGCTTCTGATCCGGCACCACTTTTTCAACCTCCTTCTCCTCCTCAACTGATCTCAACATCTGACGAATGGAATTGACCTCTTCACGCTGCTGAGGATTCACTGGCAATTCCTCCCCTTCAGAATCAAAGTCAGAGCTGGAAGAAGAACTGGAAGTGGCTGACGAATCTGATCCAGAGTCAGGGTCGTCATATGCATCAATTCCTGACAGCCCTGACTCCTGGATGTCCTCATCACTGTCCACAGCGAGCAGGTTTGATTTCATTCCCTCTGTCATGCCTTCAACAAAGAAGTCAGAGCTTTCCGTTTTGTTTCTTTTCACAGCTGAAGGTTTTCTGTTTGTATTTGCGGCTCGTCTCTTTTTTCGGTGAGCTTTCAATCCAAAAGGCAAACTGTAATTTTTTGGCTTTGATTTTTTCTTAGCATGATTTGCATCCAATGATATGGGCACGCCCCTTGCCATTGATATCCTGACTGAGACTTGTGGGACAGTTTCGGAAAATACTGGCGTATACTGTAGGACCTTCATTGACAAACTGCTTGTTGGCCCATGCTCCCGGAAGATGCTTTGAAACACCTGGTGGCTGGTGCGCCACAACCTGAACTGGCGCAATGGAAAAAACCATAAACTTGCTGGTTCGGAAGAAAAACATAATATCACAGTATCATGTTGATTTCGTGCCTTTAGATAGAAACAGAGCTGCTGTTCTCTGGAATGTAGTGGCCAATGATTTTGAACAAAATATATCTAGCCTAACAGTCTAACATAGTTGTGACAACCAAAAAACAACACCTTTTTGATGATACAAGTTCATGATCTAGCTGTCTTTTCCTGGAGGTGTATTCCGTATTCCTTGCAAGATTGTCGAAAGTGAGACCCAGCAAGTGCAGGACAAAATATGTGGAATAGTTGGCTTACCCCAGGCTTTCACTCACCTAGCCTACTTAGCCTAAATTATTCAATATTAAATAGAATAGATAGACATAGACTATAGACTATACAGTACAGTACAGTGCAGTTATATAAGTTAGTTAAATTATATATAGGGTATATAATATAATATCAATATAATTTAATATAATAATATAATATAATTTAATCATTATCTCCACCTGGGCCTAAGGAGGGAGGATGAAGGGGGGTTGGATTTCTTTAAGCCGTCCCAACCATGCATTTCGGCCATCGATTTTCTTCTGAAACCTTGATCCAAAGCCATTGTCATATGATGAGTCATAGTCTGACATGGTCATAGTCAAAGTCATAGTCAAAGTCATTGTCATATCAAAAAACAAGAAGGCTATGACTCTCACTGTGGCATAGCCGCATAGCTATCAAGTAAGAATGAGAATGATACAATGTAAAAACAAACATATCGTCATTCTTATTCTATTGACATCATTTATCTAGGTGAATCATATTTGTACAGGTGATGCTTTGGAAAGCTGCCAGGCAACCACTTCGAAAGGTGACCCCCCCTTAAACATAGCATAGACTTTGGAGATGGCTCATAAGCCTTCATTAATATTTGTTGATTGTACTTAAGACTTAAGCCTTCAAAAAACATTTAATGTTGGGGGTCACCTTTGACGGGGGTTGGCTGAATCAGACATGTGCCTGAGACCAAATTCTATGATAGAGACAAGACGCCTTTACGACCCTGAAGAGTGTGAATTAAAGTAATTCTGTGTCAGGATATGACTTGAATACATTAGTATCTTTGTATATTATTATAAACTATATATATTTTATCTAGTCATAAAATAGTCGTTATAGACTGAATGAATGGTATCTAATTCATATTTGCATGCTTCCCACTTTTTATCCGTTTCTGGGTTGTTATGACTAGACTGTGCCTAGATGTGCCTAGATATGCCTTGACATGATATCAACTGTACTGTTAGGATTTGAAATTGCTTTGTACTCATACTCATACAGATACACGATGACGAATTATTTTTTCTAAATTCTATTGTTCATCACCTAGCTAAGGTGTGCACTTGAATGGGAACTGCGAAAGATGTTAAACAAACCACGCATGTAATGCCAGGGGGCATCTCCTTTGCATCCTCAAAAAAAGGCCATTCAACCTCTTCTGAATTCCCGTTAGGAAATACCTCCAGGAGAATCTGCATTTGTGGCTTCTTCACAGCAGCGCCAACGAAAAAGTAGCGGCTGATACCACGGAGAGTGAAAGAAATCAATGAACCGATCACAACCTGTCCTTAGAATTTGGAGTCTATGCGGCGCGATTGAAGTGCTTGACAACATCGGAAACGCAGTTTCTTTACTGTTTGGAATCGTGAATCATAAAGCACAAACCGAATTCAAATGAAATGAGTACAGGCAGTTGGTAGGGCAACGGTATCATAAACGCTGTGAAGGCTTTGGACTGTTTGAGTTATAGGAAAGCCAATCAGGAATCATGTCAGGATGATTGTGCAGCTGGGTATAATTGGACACAAACCCAGGTACAGAAAGTATTTGGAAATTGTCAAACTTGGCTTTGTGGGATGGGGCTGGTGATGAATGAAACTAGAAGCTTACCAACAGAGAAAAGAAAAACCCAGGGCAGCTCTATGAAGAAAAACTATGCTCACAAGGGCCCACCCGCAGAGCCCTGCAAACAAGTATCCAGTTGACATCACAGCATGCAGGGCCTGCACATATTGGCCTGCAAGTCGTACATGGGCTGTCTTGCTACAAGAACCATACAGTTGGTGACAAACTTCATGCTGGCACTCCTCTGCGTGCTCTATTGGGGGCACAGGAGAGCTGACAGCGTTTGTCCATTTCTCTTTCAACTCAACATGAGGCATGTTCAAGACGATGTTGTCAAGTTGAATGCACCCAGCACTGTCAGCCAGTCCACCATTCCATGTCTTCCAGATGTTGCTGTCACGAAATTTCTTGTAAGTCTCAACAGTTCGGCTTTGCGAAATCTTTCCCTGGGCATGTCTGGTCAAAGCCGGCATGCCTGGAGATTCGGTATTGGCACCTAGGGGTATGTCTTTGGAGCTCTGCGAGCCAGATGAGAATGGTTGTTTGCTGGTTTCATCTCGTAGACATTGCTCTTGTGCTGCCAATGCTTCAAAAGATTCACGGGAGTCCGTGCTAAGCGCTTTCCAGGATTGAGAACAAAGTCGAATCTGCTGCTTGTATTCCGAGGGGTCGAATTGCTTGTCTTGGAACCAATGGCGCTGATAGATGTTCCAGCCTCAGTTGTTGCGGCATAAACCCCATTCTCATGAATTTGTGCACTCATTAGTTTACAGCCTACCTACTGGGAGATGAAAAAACACAGGCCAACCATACAAAAATAACCAAATCATTGCTATTTCACATAATATAGTAAGTAACCTGATGAATGATTAAAACCCTTTTAAGTTCACCCATGGACTAAAAACTGCTGGAAGTTCTTCCTTGAACCATGTGACTCATGTGGTCAGATCAGAAAGAACTGGAAAATGCAAAACTATTATTGGGTCTTGAATTGGGAACTGGACTCCGTGAATCATGAATCATAGGACAAACATGTGATTGCATGACCTATCAAACACATTGATCTTGAACAAAAGACTGAATAGCTGAATGATGGTATAACATCAAATCATCTTTATACTAACCCAAATCTAAGTCTAAAAGTCTACAAGCCAGTGTAATTACTGACTAAATAGTTTTATTGTTCGTTGGGGGAAATATGTGCTTGATTATTGGCAAGATGCAATCATCTCATCATATTATAAGATACGTGGATATGGTTCGATTCGATTTCAAGATGTATTATGATATGATTAAAGAAATAAATTATACAAACATAAATAGTTTATCATTTTGAAGCATGATAAGGAACTGTGAAATTGTATTAAAAAACAATTATCATATTATTGTTGTTACTTATGTGACTGCTAAATAGTGATCCAAAATATTATGATAGCTACTACCGTACTACCACTACCTATTATCACTATGGACTATGGTTATAAAATGTGGAAAAACAATATCATTATTAACCACAAAATACTGAAAACATATGTTTCTGCTTCTGGTGTAACAGAACACGAGACAAGAAAGGCTGGTGGGTTCAAGACAACTGGGACAGCTTGACTGTCTGACAAGGATACCAGAAACTTGGAAAGTACTATGTATACTGTATATACTGTATAATACATAATATATATAATATATATATAATTACTACTACTATATATATATATAATATAACTTAACTATATATAATATAAATATTATATATATAATTTCATATTATATAAATTATATATATTAGATTATGATTCTTATGATAGATTATTGGATATCATACTTCTGGGTAAATTATAATATTTGGCTAACCTGAATTAAGGTCATTTGCGGATCATTTCCCCTACTAACTATGATTATAGTGAGGTCGCAGTGAGGTCGTTATAATTTACCCAGGATTATATACTGTGTATACTATACTCGAGTGTGACTCTGATACAATTTGTTACTTTTGCAACTGGAATGTAACTGTGGATGATATAATATTGATTGATATGGTCCGGTGATTGATGTAGTGATTGATGATGAATGATGAGAACAAAATTTATCATAAGTTAGGTTATCCATATCATGGCAGTTGATATACAAACGCGGCATGAATAATAGTATTTATAAAATCATATTAATTCCATCAAACACATTATATATTATATATTATATATTATATAATTATATAATATACTGTACTGTACTATTATATACTATTTAAATTATTTTAATATGAATCAATCAAATTAATATTAATATAATGTGTTTGATGGATTCAGAGTGGCAATCTGGCATGATGGCCCTATGACTATGCTATGGTTTCCTGATCAACTTTGTTATCTGTTTGTAAGAAACTTGTTCATGGCATGATTGCAAAACATAAAAGCACGTGACATTTCATGTCTCTGAAAAATGGTATGGCGGAACCAAACAATGGCCACTGTGACTTCTTCGTGTAAAACAACTGAACATATTTTTGCATTGACCTCATCACAGGTTACCTCAGCAAACAACTACAATGAACGAATAATATTTCAAATGCATCTGATACGGAATAGAAAAACATATGTGACATGTGACATATCCTATCATCTGTAAAATATCTATACTAACAAGTTTCATAAGATACATCATTTCAATATGTCACAGTCGTTGACCTACAAAAAAATAACTTGATCTAGTTTAATTTGACTGTCTAATTCTGGTCTAGTCTAGCCTAATCGGCCTAGTCTAGTCTTGTCTAATCCACATGATATCTTTGACCTTGATTTCAATCAAACCACGTTGAATCAATGCATGTCAAATATTGACTCACTGCTTCGATGCACTATTTCAGAACTTACTGGACTTTACTTGCCAGGAAAAGGTAGTCCTGAGTCGTGGGCTCATGATTCGTGTCATGTTATTACGTGCTAGTGCTACCTCAAAAGAATAAGACACGGTCATGGTCAAAAAACCAAATATTAATGACTATGACTATGACTATGAGACTATGATTCTGATGATTTGATAAAAACCTGATTCCACCATGTGGCCGCACAAGGACTTCGGTCTCTTCACCAAGGCAGGCTGGTTGACAAGCTCCTCCATCAGGTCCATAGACCAAGCAATCGATCCAGGAGAACGTTGCCCCAGATTCTTGCGATGCTCAGGATCTGTGAATTGATTGCAGCCCTTCTTGTTGAAACGCTTAAGTCTGTTCCGGGCCTTGCAATCACCCTGCTTGTTCCAGATCAAGTTCCAGAAAGTGCGGTAAGCCCCTTTGATAGAGGACCACAATCCAATCTCCTGAGCAGCTGGGTCAGAAACCTTTTGTCCCCGAAATCGATGCATCCTGGTTTGCAAGCTTCCATGCGCGCACTCCACTGTGTCAGAACTCAGGGGAAGAAAGGCTGCCAAGTCAAGCAGGAATTGTTCCGGCGATTGAACCCTTCTTCGGGCCTCTGGAACTCCTCGATTCCCCACCAGCTCACTTGACAGAAATGTCAAGAGGACATGGCCAAACTCCAGGTCGACACATTTTTCGCAATGGTGCAGTTGGGTCTGCATATCGCTGAACATGTCCAAGAATTCATCATGGGTGGTAGCATCTAGGAGAGCGAACATTTTGAAAGGAAATCGGTCGTGCTCATGAACAAATCTTCTCCAACATTCCCCCATCTGGACAAGGCACAGGTTAAATGCATCTTTCGCCATATGAGGAATGTGAAGGCTGTGGAAATCCTTCAACTTGAACAGGTAAGCAGATATCAAGTCCCATCCAAAGTCTCCGTTCATGTAGTGCTTGCAAAAGGAAACAGACCTGGTTAGAATCAGGTCAGGTGATAGATATGTTTTGGCTGGCTAATTGTCAGTGAGTCACACATCAATTCAAACATATCATCTCATCTAGCTAACATCTGTTATATTAGCATCCAAACATATTAATAAATTATGATATTATATTATGATGAGATAGCTGATTCGTCATATCAATGCCAAACACCTGAAAATGTGGAGGTACACTGTTCATAGTGATGAATGATCTTGATACTGGATACTTCAATGTGTGAATTGATGGATTACGTCATACTCTGTATCGCTGTATTCCATTGGAAATAGTTGTCATGGCCCCGCACAAAACTATGTTGTATAAACAATAGTTGGTATGATTATATGTTTCATCAATGGTTAATGGCATGTTACAAGTTATATAGTTAGTTATATAAGTTATAATTATATTTAATATATATATTATATATTTAATCAAAATAATAATAATGGTATTATTTAATGCTTGTATATATATATATATATACATATATAAATATATTATAGATTAATATTATATTAATGATATGATATATGTATAATATATTGATATTTATCTATGTTGTGTTTTTATGTTGATAGTCATAGTCATAGTCAAAACATAATCGTTAAACTGTTTTATGTATATTAAATTACTTGTGATATAATTTATATTATATAATTTAATTATAAATTATTTATATATATATATTATATTTTTTTATTATATTTTCAAATAATAATTATACATCGTCTATCTATATCTATCTATATATATATATATATCGTTTATATACTTGTAAAATTATAGATTACCCTCTGGTAATCTAACATAGCTTTGGAAATGGACCATTTAAACATGATTATCTACCTATTTAGCCTATTTAGACTATTTAGTATTTTTCCATAGCTATGTTAGTTTACCAGAGGGTATCTGAATTATATGTAATGACAATGACCGACCCATGTCTTGTTACTGCTGTCGCCTTGCCTGGAAAGAAACTTGTGCTACTTGCAAACCAAACAAATGTTATAGTTATAGTGGTAGTAGAGTGATAGAATTAGCCTAGTGATATAACAATGTTTGATATGATATAATTCGAAATGATTCTGATTGATGTATAATAAAGTGCGCATAATAATTTGACATGATACCACAACACATAACAACATACAGTATCAATACTACCATGACCACGGCCAAAGATAGACTGAAACAGCCCAAGAAGGCTCAGAGCAGTGGTGTGGATTGCAGGGTTCGTGTAGATGATTTGCGCTCAATACAAAACTGAGATGTCCAAGTAACAAGCTACTTATATCCATACTCAGTCTCATCATGATTGCGTCGAATACAAATATGATAATATGATCATGATTCATGATAATAATTAAATTCTACTACTACATGTTACATTAAATTTTCCCTACTTTACAAATAGCTACTTTAATCATGATCAATGAATCTGGCCACCACCAAAAAAACCAAGGCAAGATTAAGACATGCATGCACTTCCACCCAAAATAGTTAGAGGCAAGGATGGGTGAGTGCAAAGAAAACCATCCCTCTGGTCAACACCTGGCCTTGAAAACATGGATGCAAATTTCGCGTCATCGCTACCATCTGCACAAGCTGCAAGCTGGTGCATCAAGGCAATGTCGCCAGTACGCTGCATCAAGCGGTGCATTGCATGGGACAGAGGGGAGTTCAAGTACTCCATCAAGAGCGTTTTTGGAACAAACAGATTATCAAGAATGGCAGAAAAAGCAAGCCTCTTTCTCTTCCTGTTGAGCTCAGCAGGAGTGATGTCAGCATTGGCTCCACCTTCAATGTCCAAAAGCATTTCCTCCCAGTCCCGGTCCTTGACGGAATCCTCACCATCCTCATCCACACACATGTTGATGTGGGTCAAGATGTCCTGCAAGTCCTTATCTTTCAAGTTTCCCTCTGACATGATCTGCAAAGTGCGAGGGAGTACTTGATGCAACATAACGCCCACCTGAGTGCCATGGACCCTATGGGAAAATGGTGGGAGTATAGACTTGTGGTGAAGGCCAACATGAACCAGTGACGGTTGCCAATTCTTATGTCTATGATTGAGAATCCGAACCCAAACCAAAATTAATATAATAACAGTATTAGATATATACATACATTACATACATACTTACATGCATGTAATTGTAATGTATTATTATGTTATTGAAAATATGAACAGGATAGAAATAATATAATATATGATATGATGATGATGAAAAATCTTTGTGTGATCAGCATGGTTCAAACAACTATATAATGTACTGTACAATATTACAGAGGGAATGACTTACACACATGTCACATGTCTTTTTTACATGATTCATTGGATCGTCAGGACTGCTCCCCAACACAGATCATTACAGCTCACTTAGGGGCCCAGGAAAATTTGATAAACATATTAATACATCATGAATCATGATTCATGATATTTATGGAAATAAAATCCTTTCAGGATTTTACAGAAAAACTTTACTTAATATCTAATTATATGATTCATATATAAATCATATATCAAGTATCTAAGTACATGCTTGTACATGTGGATGTTGTGTTGTCAGGCGGGTTTAACCACAACGCAAAAGCGACCCCATGAAAGCTGGTCAACTAGCCCTTATTATTGTGGGGTCACCTTTGCGGTGGTTGGATGAACCCCATGAATAGGCTTAAATAAATATTGTTTGTAAAATTATAAGCTATACGGCTGGCTATACCTACTTAAAACTTATATAACTTATAACTTAACTTATACGTATAATTAAGTTATAAGAGCTACTATAAAATAAAACATATATCATATACTGTATACTGCTATTACATAATCTATAGCAATTTTAATAATAACTATATCCATAATATAATATATTATTTATTCATTTGTTTATTGTATATGTTACATGTTATATGATTATGTTATGTTATCTGTTTTTGGCTCATGACCTTTGGGCTTATGGGTCACATGACTCATGACTCACTTATGGCTGGCTATATAAAACTGTACATAGGACTGCAGCATATTATTACAAACGCTTTATTGACAAAGGAATAATTTAATAGTGTGTGAAGTTGTGTAATGATTTGTCAGTCAATTTCTGAACATGAAAGAAAATCCGAAACCATGTGTTTTGAAATCACGATTGCTTTTAAAATTTAACCTATGTAATTGAACACGCAAATTTGATAGAATTCTAGTACACAATGATATGACATTCCTATGTACTGTACAACTTTAAAGAAATGTAGAGATATATTATATTATATTCTTATTGTATTGAGGTAGATCAAATCTATATCATTGATATTCTACGATACATAACCGTATGTTATTAATATATATATATATATATTATATAAATGAAAAATAATATTAGTATGTTATAATGTTGAGTTACGTTAGAAATATATATGATGTAACATTTCGTTATATATTAAATTATAGATAAAAAATATGATATGATGATATGATATATAACATTTATAAATATATTTAAATTTATATATATAATATATATATATGAACTATATAATATATATGATACAAATATATATATATATACAGTATATACATTATATATATTATTATATAATAATATAATATAATTATATATATAATTTAATTGATGAAATATGATATTATATATAAATTTATATAAATATAAGAAATGTAGCAGTATAATAAACTATATGTATTGTGATATGATTCAATATGATAAATAATAGTAGTAATTTAGTAAAATTAATATTATATATTATATTGTTTTTAAATGTTCGTGTGTTTGTATTAATTTTATATTGGAAGGGTTTCAAAGGCTTCCACTATAGAGCCCGTCTTGGACTTGCCCACGCATACGCATGCATAAGCTGATTGAAACACGTAAATTCATATTCCCGAGATATCCAGAAATTGCCGCTACTGGTACTATTTGATGTTTTCTTCAGGTTTATGATGTTATTTATGTGTCTTTTACTCAAGGCTCAAAATAAGGTAGTCTATACTACTTTAGTTGTGCAAAATTCATACTGTATTTTGTTTCTCCGGACATTAAGAAACATAGGCATAAACGGAACCATACACATGTACAAACACAAAGGATGTATTTGTGTTGTTGTTTGCGTTGCGTTTATCTTTCTATTTATGTTTTCTCTATGTGGGGTTCAAAAAAGAATTTAATGATTTACTACATGATAACTATACATACTATATAGACTATTGCTTTACGTTATTTACAAAAGTGAGGGCCTATCCGATCCTTCCTGCGGAATTTTAAAAATGACATAGATTATACATTCGCAAACATATGTAATATATGCATATGATACTGCATATATGCGTTAGTAAAACATGAACATAGAGTATTCCAGCCGCAAAACACGTGAATTCTTCACATGTGTTTCACGTGTGCATCACATAGTCAAATGGAAATGTACCTGTTACATGTTTCACATGCGTTTACGTATGTTTTGCTGCGTGGCCACTTAGGATATGTATAGGTATCCGCTCGCCAGGATCCCTGGAGGCTTCTGATATTCAGCTAAAGGTCTTATTTGCAATTAGTATATAATTACATTACTATAATAATACTATAATACTATAAATACTATAGAATAAATAGTAAAATTATTACTTAAGTATGACTCTGACTCTAACATATAATTTAATCTATATTACACAGGTTGTATTAGATATCGTTAATTTAGATTATAATAGTGTGTACTGATATTACATTAATTATATTAAATTAAATTATATTATATTATATGTAAATGTAGATATTAATATTATAGTAGCGTTTGTAAAATTTATAATATACGTAGGTATGTAAATTATATATATATATATTGGATTAAATTATTTTATTCAAGTTCAAACATTATATTATATATATTAATTAATATATCATTTCATTACTTTGTTACTATGACTATGACTATATCATTCTGATTCTGATTGATTGATTCATCAAAGGCACAAACTATATTATTGTATTATTATTATTATATATAATATAATCATATAATAAAAAAATATAAATATAATTATATGTATACATTGATGATATAATGTAAGAATGTTATTGAAAAATATATTCGCATCAAATTATTGATGTCACTATATTATTGATATTTTACTATCAAGTTATATATTCAATCTTTTCGATAGGATTCAGATTTATATATATATATATTATCATTTATGATTTATGATATATTATATAATGTATATATAATTTTTAAATATATGATTTAATATATAATATATTTAAATATATTTAAATATTATTACATATATATTTCCGACATATACTATACATATTATATATATATAAATAAATATTATATAATAAATATATATATATACATATTATAATTATATATATGGGTATGGGTCAAAATTAGGTACCCCAACAATTGGATGGTTAATACTAAACTAGACTAATATCTGTGGTCCCCTAGGTCTTCCATTTTGACCCACATCCATATATATATATATATATACATATTTATATATATCAATATATATTTCAAATATATATTATATATTATATAATGTTACACTATTTTGAAACTTTATTTTATGCAAATTAAATAATACTAGAATACTAGTTGTTATTATTTAAATTTGCATTTATCAGTTGGAAATTTTGATACGGTATAATGTGGTTCATGGTTATTCAACAAATATAATAATATATTAATTATTGAAATATGTATGTCATGTCAATACCTTTATATATAATTCATAGTCAAAGTCATAGTGGTATAAATATGTATAAATATAGTACTGAATAGGACTAACATTACTATTGTTTTCATATCGTTGTACTACTATGACTGTGACTATGAATAGACAACTTTAAATATAATATATATAATATATATATATATTTATACAGTACATAATACCAAATATAAAATATTTATAATTTGTATAATTTTATGTATACAATACATGATAAACTAACTTATAACTTTGTTAACTATTTAAGACATAATATTAAATAATATTTAAATTATAGAAAAATATATAATAAATAATAACTTACTTACTTATATAATATATTTTTATATAATAATATAATAATATAATATTATATGACTTTATATAACTACTTAACTACTCTTATAACTTAACTTAGAACTATGACTATGACTCGGCTATAAATTATTAATATACCGATAATATACCATGTAACATGAATCAAATCATTATCATATCATATGTTCCAACTACTAAATAGTACAGATGTACCCTTTGATACCATGTATCATGTATTTAGTAACATGGTAATTAATGTGGATGTGAGCTACGTTACATACCCCTCAAACTTCCGGCCTACCTCTATGTTGCAACTAAAATTCTGTTGTGTAGTGCAAAGCATCCTCGGAGTGAAGCCAGCGATACGTCAAGGGAACCGCAAACCCTTTGCCGAAGATGCTGACATACAGCTGGCATATACGCAGAAGAGCGGCCTTTCGTCCTCCACATCCACACGAACCCTGAAGACACCAGTGGGCTATCCTTCGAGAGGATGGGTCTGAGTTGTTGAGTGTTGACAGCTCTTCAAACCATGCCTCTTGCATCTTGCGCTTGGATGATGCAGTGGAAGTTGAACCGTCCTCGTCACCGTCTACCTCTGAATCTGGCATCCCAAATCGTCTGGAAAACAGCTCTCTCCTCGACTGTTGCCATTCAGAATGTTGGCTGGGCATCTCTGAAACAACGATGTAGTCGAAGCTGCTGCTTATAACTTGGATTAGGGCCTTTCTGAACTGATTTCGGAAGGTGTTCGCCTCAAAGAGGTGAGCCAACCGTACTATAGTCGACCAGTAGGCCGAGAAGTGAAACAGAAGGCCTTTGCGACACAAAGCAACTTGATGGAGGCCACAGCGTGCAGCAATCATTGGAAAAATCTGTTGTGGCTCTCCATCCGTCTGCTTTTGTGCATGTGTCACTGCCAATCTTCGAAGCGACTTCAAGACTGCATTGTTGGTTTTCAACGAGTCCCAGCTGATCCCTAATGCTTGTATGCGTATGGGTACCTGCGGGGACGACCCTGCAGCTGGCTGAGAAAATCGTTTCCATCGCTTACCAATGCATCCCAACCAAACAAAGATCCAGGATACGAACTCCGATAAAATGCCATTGGCATTGCTTCTCTCTAGTGGAACCATTGGAGTGTGCACAAAGAATGTACGCAATTTATCTTTGTTCTCAGGGTCATCTGACTGCCCATAGCGAAAAATCAATGTTTGAATGTTGTTCATGATGGCAATCACCCTGCTAAAGCCTCCCAGGCCCCATCGGTCTGTCTTTGGCACTGCCAGTCGCATATTGGTATCGTCAATGACACAAAGGTTGATGACATGCCCGAAAGAATGCCCAGAATGCAAGAATGAGGTGATGGAAGCATAGAAAGATGTAAACCAGGACCACAACAGCCTCGTTCTTGTCATGGCGTCAGTTTTACTGCTGCCTGCTTTTGTGATTTCATCTTTGCTGTGTGGGGCAACATCCTTCAGAAATTTAGCGGCTGGGTGACTATTTGGGAGCAGCTGATTCTTTTCCAACTTCATTCTTGTTTTTCTCTCTGTAACATTTTTCATGTAAGTGGCCCGTGCTTTCTCTGTTCTCGCCTTCCTCCGCAATCTTGCCAACTCAGAATTTTCACTTGAAGATTCCTCGGATGATGAGGTCGCATCTGACGAAGAGCCTGATGTGCCCTGTCCTGACTCAGATTCATCAGAATCAGAAGAGGAAGCCCTGGGCTTTGTGGAAGAAACCAAATCCAACAGGGATGCGGCCGCACTTGGCTGCGGTTTCTTCATGCGAGCCAGCTCCAAGAGTGATGACATTGCTACAATGGAGCCAGGAAATCAACAGCTTCCCAATGAATGCCCTTGATGGCTCAAAACAATGGCGGGATGGTCAAAACCGACCCATGGGGGTCAATGGAAAAGTGAACGTGCTTCTGCAAGTGGTGTGAACTTCAATATTGCTGAAGCTGAATGTGACTTTGACATTAAAATGTCGTCATCATTGTCGTGGATGTCAAAAATGTCTCCAGTGACTCCATAAAATGATCTTTGATTTCAGATAATTCTCTCTAGCCTCTAACAAAAAAATGGTTGCTCTGCAAAGGAGGTCTTGGGCCATAGGGATGCAAGTGTGCAGCCGGTCATCTCGTTATTGGCATATCTCAGATCTCCGATCTCCAATCAAATGATCAAAATCAAGTTTGATAAGAACATGATGAAGTTGCAACGTGAAACGCTGATACATTACATGAGCCAAGTAGAAATTACCGATTCATTGATGGTTCAGACTTTAGATCATGAATCATGAGTCATGACAATATAGGTCGTCATATAATAACATATCATAATTCATAATAATGAAAAATGATAGAGTGGATTTATGAGTTATGTAATTAAAACACTGTATGCTGTATGCCCATGAACATTTTTTCACGAACATGAGTTTCAGATGTGGGCGTAATAATTTCTGAATGCAAATCACACTGTGGATGGAAGAAATCCTGCACCACCAGTTGGTAACTAATGGTAACTACGAAACACTACAAATAATAGTATGTACAACGGGATAACGGGACAAACCTATCTACCAACTGGCGCAGGATTTCCTCCATCCACACTATCATATAATCTTGTGGTTATTGGGTTCTTACCACATTCACATAATCTATCATCACTGTGTCACTGAGCAGTCCATATGTTATTTGAAATTATCTCCAGGACCCAGGACTTTGCTAAATCAAAATTGGTAAATAAATATCCTTAACTTATGACACGTTGCCATATCGCTACTCAAAGATACGATATAATGTGAACATAATTCATTAACGAAAAACTGATAGCAATATATTCATAATATGTATTTCATTGCCATCAGCTATGATGATGTGATATGAGTTGATATGAGTGATATACATACCGTCATACTGTCATACCGTGATATGATATGATATGATCCATTTAATGTAAGTTGTTATAATAAATTATAAGCAGTGTGAAGCTAGTTCTGGGAAAAACAGTCAGAACATAGTTGACATGAAAACATTTTAATTATAGAGAGACTATAGAAGACACAAATCATCAAACTGAAATTATGTGATTTCAAATGCAAGAATTCAACACATGTTGTTATTGTAATTGATTACAGTAACATGTAATAACATCATCATATATAATTTAACAAATTACTATATCAGAATCAGTATCAGTATCAGAATATTATTATATTATCTTGAAATTGTATACTAAGTTCTACAATTGTATGCTATGAACTCAGCATGCGATGGAAAAGATGGAGGAAATAGCGGAACACTAAAGCACCATACCGTACCATACGATATTGCTGTGTTACACACATTGTGAGGTAGAAGCAATGATAGTCCTAGCTGTACCTTATCCTTTTTCTGTTCCATCGAAAAATGTGCAATGTCACAATTCACAGTCACAAGGTCACAAGTCACAAGTCCTTTATATGAACATGGGAAGGGAATTAATACAATGAAATGTGACTATGACTATGACTATGACTGTGACAATCACCATAACCATATCAGAAAACATTTTTTCGGGATTGCATTGGACATAAAAGAGCTATGTTACATAGTTTGACTGTACACCACTAAGACTATGACTATGACTATTGTTAATCCTCAGCAAATTGCATTTATTCAGATCGTTGGGGAACCCAGGGCTTGTTTAAGGATGCTTCCTGCTTCTGCCCTTTCCGTACCTGGTACTCTTTCCCATCAACTTTGATGGGCCGAGCAAACTTCCGAGTGATTGTATCCACCTGACAAGTGCAGCCCTGAATGATTGGAGTTGCCGTCAAATAGCAAACTAAATATGTCTCAAGAAACGTGTGGTACTTTAATTTTTGTTTGACCTGCACACACCACAAATACAGATTCAGATACCTGATTTTGATACATACTTTTCTTGATGATGTATTATGATATCCGCTCATGCCATGATCCACAACTTCCTCTTGCCTCCTCCACTATGAAGGTTCTCGGATTGCGAGCACGAAGCTTGCTCAAGGCTTTGAAGACTGGGTAGCAGGTCGCCCTTGGTAGCAAAAAAATTCAACGGAAATGGTAAAAACCGGTCACACTGAAACTGATTGACTTGAACAACCCAACGTCAACCATGTCATGAAGTCAAGTCAGCAGTGCCAGCACATGCCAAGCTGCTCTCTGAATGGGTTCCACTTGTGAGATCGAGTCTTGGAATTCAAACGACTAAACAACGGGCACGGAATTCCCAGCATTCCCATGTCCTCAGAGTTGTGACAGCGCAGTCACCCCACGGAGCCATGAGAAACTTTTTTGACTCATGGACTCATGGAAGGCAATACGAATTGAAACCGAAGTCGTTGATGTTACACATGCAGGTGCTCAAAATTTCACACACTGACTCAACAAAGAATTTGTCTCCGTCTTGTATAGATTTTCACAATTACTGCATTTAATGATGATTTAACAAGGGGCATGTGACATATGATGTACTGTAAAGTATATATTATATTCATATATTCATATATGTATTTATATATAATATTATATTTATTTGTATTTATATGATGTAAATAAATGTTGATGTAGTGAATGTTATAATATCTGACTATATGATATGCGGATATGCGGGTGTAGAATTTCATACAATAATATAATATTATATATTCCACATATATCATTTCATCTGTATATTGTATAATTGTATATATATATTATATTTTAAAAAATATTATAAATCATAAAATATAAATACAATTATATATTATATTGAATCTGAATGATATTTAAATTTTATCATCTAAAAAGAATATTTAGAGATTATTTGTATACTGCTGTTTTCCTTTCAACAATGTGTATATAGATAGCTTGGTCAGTGTGCTCCAGTGGTCTATATGTACAGTCAAGTTGCTTCAAAAACAGGCATAGCGAATGAATGATAACAAATAGTATATGTCAACAATATACTAGTTACCCCTTAGTTATCTAATATATAAAAATTCAAAATAAATATTATATACGAATATTATAATATTGTTATTGAAGTATCATTACTATATTAATATTGCTAATAATTATTATTACTTATTATATTATTAAGTTATTCTTATTATTATAGATAAAATCATATCATGTTATTTTACGTTGTAAATTATATAGTTATGTTATATATATATAAAATATTATATAACCAATTTATATAATATATTAATACTTATATAATTATATGTTATTCATATTAAATTTTATTATATATTATATAATATATATTATTTATATGATTATATGAATTATATGTCTGTATATTATACAATTATTAAATAAACATGAATATTATAAATCATAGACTCATAGACTCATAGATGATTGAATTATATTATATTATTAAACTTATATTCTATTGCATATATATCATATTTTTAAATTATCTGAAATTATATTAAGTTATATTATAGTTATAGTTGTAGTATATATTATTATATATTATAAATTATAAATTATATAATTTATATAATTATATAATATATACTTATTAATTTATATTGCTATTATTGTGTACTTATGTCTGTTACATTCATTATATTATATCTAGTACAGTAGACTATGTACTAGATATAAATATAATAATATAATAAATGAATACTGGTATACTCTGTATACTGTATACTGTATAGTTAGTTGTATACAATATACAATTCAATGTATATTTTTTTTTCGTACAACGGGTTCCTTGAGGGGTAACCGTGCACGATGTTCATGTGGGTTTGTCTGAAAATACGGTATCCCCAATTCCATTGGATTATAGTCACTACCCCCTTTTGGGTGGTGCCTTGGAGGGGATACGGGATACCGGATACCCCATTTTCAGACATGTGACATATATCATATCATAGTAATGTATATTATTGTATCAATATATGTCATGTCATACAAAAAACTAATAATCATAAAGTACAGAGTACATGAGCAAAAACGGAATAAGCATCTTCAAGGCTACAACTCTTACTTATAGCGCTAGGTTTTATTGAATTAATATCAAATCATCACTGGCAAATGACAGACCAAAATGTTGCATGTCTTCCAATGGGTAGACACTGATAGACACATATACTTAACATCCCAAAAGATAGAAAAAGGAAAACCCTATTAAAATGGTGGTAAATGAGATAATTAGTGTTCATTGTGGTTCTATCTTTTGGGGGCTACTACCCTACAAACCGACCAGACCATACATATTATTGTATTCGATTTGTCTCGTATTGAAAACATTATTGTGCAGATTCAAACGGGTATGTAACATGATGATGCAAGTTAACAGTTTTATAAGTTGTAAGTTTTGGCAGCTATAAGTTATAAGAGTTTTTATAAATATCAAAACAATGTGCAAATGTATATTATGACATTATGTTAATGTTAAGCTGTGTTATGTAACATTATGTTAGATTTAATAGTTACAGTTCCATGATATCATATATGCAGTGATATATGATATTTGATTATATGATTCATATATATATATAATACATATAATATATATATATATAGATTTTATGAATATGAATATAATATAACATTACATAATATAATATATTCTGAATTATTTGATAATATTAATATAATTATAATATAATTTAATATATAATTTATATAATATATAATATATATTATATAGGCTATATATAGGATGAGTTGTGTAAATAACACCTTTTTATCCACAAGATGATGTGATTATATTATAATTATATTTATGTTTTTGTAAAATTTATCTATATTTATTATATT